TTGTTGTTGTTGTTGTTGTTGTTGGAAGTTTGGTATAGATTGAGGTTAGGGGTCGTTACTGATTTTTCTTGGACCTCACATGGCTTGATTGTGGCCTCGGCGTAGCTCAGTCGTTCGTAGTGGTTGTAGGCGTCATTGTAGTCCATGGAATTGGCGTGGTTTGATGAGTTGCTTGTAGAGCTGCTTCGGTTGAGGTTAGGTGGGAACCATGGGCCGGACGCCATGGCGGGAAGCGTAGGCGCACAGGAAAAAACAGTATTTTACCCACGCGGAGCCATCCCGCGGGTTACCACCAATGTCACAAGTTCCGCAGCACTAGTTTTCACTATTAGTCACTTTTCTAGTCCTCGGAAAGTAGTAAAATCACTAATAAAGGGTTTTCTTATCGGAGTAGTTGGGGTAGGCTCTCAACTGTTCTCGAGAGAGAGAGAGAGAGAGAGAGAGAGAGAGAGAGAGAGAGAGAGAGAGACGGCGAAGAGTTGGGGCCGCTGCGTACACAGACAAACATAGGCAGGCCAAGGCGTGGGAGAGCGGGAGACACTTTATTCGAATGTCACCACGGTGATCTGCACAATGGGGGACGCCGGGACGCCACTCCGGGGCCCCGGGACGGGGACGGTACACACCGCCGTGACTCGTCAGTTCCCACCCTCAACGCGCGTACCCGCGTGCCGCGTATATAGTAGACACCTATAAACACGACCTCGATGACAAACATGACCGTCAAGACCAGAACACTCCGCACTCCGCCTCGCCTAGGCGCCGGCGCGCCGTCCTCCACCTCGAGCTCTTGATCCTTCCGGACCTCGACACGATAACGCGCGACAGGACTGGGGAAGGACATGGGCGTCCTTGGGAGGCGCACGTCCTGACCGCCGCCCCACCACGCCCTGCCGGCGGTGTTCCGCCACGCCCGGCGCTTAGCGACCGCGCCGAGACAACGACGTCGTGACGCGTGTCCTCTCACGCACTCACTCACTCACTCACTCCGCGGAGGAGATAGTGCACGTCGCCGTCGTCGTCGAGCTGGAGTCCTTGGCGATAACGCCCGTCTCTCTCTCTCTCTCTCTCTCTCTCTCTCTCTCTCTCTCTCTCTCTCTCTGCCGGGCCGCGGCTCGCGGTGCCCGCCAGCGCCCAGGCGACCGTGACTGATACGCTTCAAGGACGCGGCCCGCCCCGCCCCGCGCCACGCCCCGCGAGCTGGCCGCCCGGTCGGTTCCGGTCACTCCAAACGCACGCAGCAGCGCAGCGCCTCCACGCGTCGGACACGGGGCGTTAGGGAGGGAGATGTGTGTGATCTGATAGCTGACGGTCGTCGGCGGCGTCGGCCCGAAAGGCAATATGAAGGTGAAGCTCGAGCAGCAGCAGCAGCAGCAGGAGGAGGAGCGGCGGTGCCGGGGGCGGCACGGCGGTGCAGCGAGTGTGAGTCAGGCCCCTGGACTGGCGGGCGGGCGGTTGTGACTCCTGACTCGTGACTAACCTGCGGCGCGCCCTGCCCCGGCCCGGGCGCCTGGACTGAAGGCCCGTGAGGTCCGTGAGTCAGCCTGCTCTGCTCTTGTCGAGCACGAACCAACTCACTCAGTCCGTGCCGCGCCGACACGATGACCCCCCCCCCGCCCACCTTTTCCACAAATCCAGTTCATCCGCCGGTAATGATGATGGTTAATTAAACATTTTATATGAACACTCGTGGGAGGAAACGGAAAGCATAGCAGGAACACAAACAAACTTACAACCACTCTCTCTCTCTCTCTCTCTCTCTCGCCACACACGGTCATGCATGCGGTAAACGGAACTGTCGCCGTTCACCGAGTGTGAGAGTGTGTGTCATTGTCGCCGTCGCTCCATTGACAGTCGTGCATGGTGGAGAGCGACTCCCCCCGTGTGTCGTTCGCTGCGGTGCGAAGCCCCACCACGCCCCTCGAGAGGTGAGCGGGGTCGGTGGCAGGCGAGCGCGACAACGCGACGGCGCGAGGCAGCAGTACAAGTACAAAATCACGGAAATACCCCGCAGCACTCCGCACTATACTCTCTACCACCACACAGTCTGCGATAGGGGTACTAAACGGCACTACGGGTCCGGTCGCGCGGTCCCGGACCTGTCCTACGCGCCGTACTTGGGCCCGCCACGCCCCACCACGTCCCGCCACGCCCCGCCACGCCCCGCCACAACACGCCCCGGCACGACACGCCACTCTATGATGGACTCGGGACACCAAGCGAAGTGCCGTGATGTGATGCCGCGCCGCAGTCCACTTTTTTGCCCCCACATCATCCTTTCCTTCTTCTTTACCGACCCCGCGGCGGCGCTGCTCTGCGGCGGACGCCGTAAAATCCGAAAATGGCTCTTGTGTGTGTGTGGTGTTTGATTAATTGCAGACACACGGAGCCTGGGAAGAACCAATGACAGTGGCCCCGACCCGACCGGGACGCGGCGAGCAGTCGCTTGGTCGCGCGGACCGGTCAGGGGCAGCGGAGCGCAGTCACACACACACGTCTCTTTAGTCATTAATTATGAACCTCTTGAAAAAGATGGAGGTATCGCGGGATTCCAATACGTCCAACAGCTGCCGATAATAGCTGAAAAGCGAACACGTACATGGCCCGGGGATAGTTATTAGGCTTCGCGTGCGATTAGCAAATCGCGAAGCCTTATGACGAGGTCGTGATGTGTATCGCCAAGATTTTCGTGTTACGTACCTGCTCCCCCAACATCCACTAGCAAGGAGACCCTCTAGCACCAAAACAAAACCAAAAAAAATAAGGTTCGGGGGCGGGTCACTCGGTGTCTGAATAGGCGAGGGGCCCGGGGGGCCCGGGCTCCGGAGCCCAGCTGATGGTAACGCGGAGGCATAGGCAGTATGAATCGCGAAACTTTACTAAAGCTATCTATGTGATTATAGGATGTTCAAAATTTCGATCACGCGGTCAGCCTTCGCGTGCGTTAAAATGCGGCGAAAACGCAAAACGAAAAGCCTTATGACGAGGTTGTGATGTGTATCGCCAAAGGATTTTCGTGTTACGTACCTGCTCCTCGGCAAGGAGACCTTCCCACACCCACAAAAAAAAAAGGTTCGGGGGCGGGGCAGGGGGACCCCTCCGCTCTTGGTGTCTGAATAGGCGAGGGGTCCGGGGGGCCCGGGCTCCGGAGCCCAGCTGATGGCATGGGCAGAATGGCGTTAAATGTTTCTCAAATTTTGAACATAGCAATAAACTACGCATATTTTTGGGTCAGGTCAGTCATCACCCTTTCACCCCTCTTTAAAAAAGTCACAGGCTCCTATGCCAATTTTGACTTCAATAAGGTGGATGTGGTTAAGGGCAGAGGGGCAGTCTTGTCGTGCGAGCGTGGCAGCCGGAAGATTGAGCAAAGGCTTTTAAAAGTGTTAAAATTTTTGTGCAAGTTATAGGAAACAACTAAATATTTAAGACAATCGTGCCCCTTTCACCACCCTTTAAAAACATGATAAAAATAACATAATTTAAACATTTAGCAGATAGATTCGTCTAAGCGTCTCGGCGTTATTCAGTCCATAGCCCACATCAAGTACGCGAAGCCCTTTTAAGCCACATTGAACAATGTGGGCTTGACGGATTTTATTTTGTCCCGGTCGGGTAAATGGTGGCACCCACGCACGCCGGCGGCTCTGCTGGCCGACAATGACTCGGCCAGTGATGAGTGTTTGCGCTCTTCTTCTTCTTGTTTCGCGACAAGATGTTTTTAGCGGCCCTTCTACTGCGGTCGGCGGGGTCGGGTCAACTCGGCCGCGGACGGGCGACGCACCCACGTACATCAAGAACGACACGACGCAGTGCGCTGTGTGGGCGGGGCGCGGGCCTGGGAGTAAAGACAGAAAGGGGCGCTCGCTCCCGCGCACATGGCCTTCCCCAACGGCCGTAGAAGTGGAGCGGTTGTTGCTGATCCGACACTAACCCGACAGATCGTTATTTACCGGACTATTATTGCGTGCGAATAACAGGCTCCTGGCTGCAGTAATAATGTTGTTCCTGTGTGTGTGTGCGTGTTGCAGGTCTCGCCATGGCGGCGTCATCCGAGTTCCGGCGACAGCAGAGCCGCGTCTGGTGGTCGAGCTTCCACGGCGACGAGCATCTCATGTCGGCCCTCGGCTCGCCCATCCCCCGCTCGCCCGCCCCGGGACCCTCCGCCGCGGCGGCGGCGGCGTCCCCGGCCGTCGGCGCCGCGCCCGCGCCCGCCGGCACTCCCGGCCAGCAGGCCGACGGCGTCCTGGAGCAGGAACAGCAGGGCGGCAGGGACGCGTCCAGCTCCCCCAGCACCTCGCACAAGAGCCAGGACTCGGGGTTCTCCGACTCCGACGGCTCGCACCGTGCCGCCGCCTCGCCGCTGTCCACGTCGCCGGAGGTGAGTCGTCGCGTCGTTCGCGTGACTGTCGGGGAGTGTCACATTTACTGTCGCTTTCACCGTCACACCTCTTTGGCAGCTTGATTAATGCCGCTCTCATGGTACTCGCAGGTGACCGAGGGCGCGCAGCTGCCGAGCACCCCGTCCCCCACCCACAGCCGGCTGCAGCTGTGCCTCAGCGGCGCCTGCACCTCCACGCCCCGCGACCAGGGCCCCAGCCGCGGCCCCGCCCGCGGGCCCGCGTCCTTCGGGGGCCACGCCACGCCGGGGGAACTCAGGCGGAGGTGAGCAATCGACATGGTGGAGGTGGACGACGCCGTGCCCGTGTCGTTCGTCGGGTGACTGACTGTCCGCTCTGTGTCCCCCACAGGCTGTCCCAGGATGACTCGTGCATCCAGTCGCGACCGCTGCCCGCCATCCCCGTGGCGTACCGGCGCCAGCGCTCCGCCGAGGAGCAGCGCCGGCGCACCTCCCGCGCCCACCTGTCCCGCAGCGTCGCGGCGCCCGCCTCGCTCGACACGTCCCTGGAGGACGACGAGCTGACGGCCGCGCTCAACCAGACGTTCCCGCTGCCCGGGCCGCCCGACTCGGGCCACCGCGCACCCCGCTGCTTCATCAAGAACCGCAAGAACGCGGCGGCCAACAGCCGGCGCCAGCAGCAGCAGCGCTACACCAGCCGGGTCGCGCCGCCGGCCGACGAGCCGTCCACGACGGCGAGCTCCGTCTGCGACTCGCCCGCGCCCCTCCACGCCACCGTGGTCAGGCGCCCCGTCCCGGACGGCGGCGAGGACACGACTGCGGCCTCGGAGCACGCCGACATCCTGGACGCGCCCCACCAGCACCTCCTCCTGGACGTGACGTCCGGCCCGGGGCTGCCCGCGCACACGTCCACACCCAAGGCGCTGCCCGCGGCGGCCGCGCAGCTCGCCAGCCCGATGCTCGCCCTCGCCCAGCCACCGACGTCCACGCCCACCAGGAGGCCGGCGGGCGGCTCGGCCGCGCCCGCGGCGGGCAGGCGCGCCCATGACCGCCTCAGGATGAGCGCGCGTCCGGTCAACCTCCTCAACAACTATGAAGTCAAGTGAGTACGGAGAGAACCGAGCGGGGAGGTAGGAGGAGGAGCACGGGGAGGGGTTTTGTTGTTCGCTCTGTACGAACACGTGGTAATTATTCGCATGAATCCAGGGAGGAATGCAGCGTCGGCAGCCTTGGGGCGTGACTAGGCGGGGGGACGCCGGGGAGGACGGGGGTGGGGGTGGGGGGAGAGATTAGAGATTCGTCTCGAGTTACTCTCCCGGGGTAGCGGGGTGGGATCAGCCAGACGTAAGTTACACCGTGCGAGAGCAAGTGCGCGAGCGCCCGGCCCCGCGGCCACGGCGGCCCCCCTCGGGGTCCCCGGGTCCCCGCCACTAATGTCACTTCGCGGAACGGAAATCGTCGCGTTTCAAACGCCGTATTGCAGTTCGCATTGCAGCCAGTTCCCCTTATCGGCCGTGTTCGTTATCGCAGGGCGGGCACGCTGTGTCCGGCGGCGAGAGGCCGCGGGAGCCGTACCGGCCAGGCCCGCGGCTGCTGAGCCGGCAGGGAGCATTCTCGTTATTGTGTAGAGGTCCCCAGAAGTATCGCTCCGGACCACAACAACAACAGCTGCGGCCTCATCGCCTTACACTTCGTTCGACACGTTGACTACTAGTATTTTTCGCCTGACGCTTCTTCCTTCTTGTTTCGTGCGCGATGGGTGCGCGACTTGGTTAAGATGAACGCGCGTGTGAACGTGCGACTTGTGATGGGAAAATAATTATCGATATCCGACAATAAAAACCGACGCAGCAGCAGCACATCAGAGCAGCAGGGCAGGGTCGGGTCATGCCATTAAATCCACCGCGACCAACCGAGTTTACCTTCCAGCATCAGCAGCAGCAGCTCCGCCTCTAATTCCGTTTTAATACGCTTCTGATTTAATAAGTGGCTATCGGCGGATCCTACCGATGCGGCTGCGCTGCGCGCGGGACACGCCGGGCCGGCCAGAGCAGAGAGCCGGGCAGACGGCGTGTTTGTCTTCACGCAAATCAGCCCGCCGACTCCGCGCGCAGCTCCGCGCTCCGCGCCGCGCCACGCCCCGCGCGCGTTGTGTAGTAGTAGGAGGCATTCCAGTGGTACAGTGAAAAGTGACGGCGAGAGAAGAAGAGGGAAAACGCAGGCCCCGGGGAATTACACCGTGATGGATAGGTTCATAATACGACAGTGCGGGGCGTGGCGGGGCGTGGCCTGGCGGGGCGCGAGCCCCACACCACCTGCTGCTGCTGCTGCTCCGCCCGGGGCGGTATAGGAAACCGATCGGCCCTTTTATAAGTCTTATAGGGCTGGAGCGCGGCAACGCGGTGAAGGGGGAGGGGGGGGGCTCGCATTTTAATCAGTAATAACCCGAGACACAGTAATCTGGGTGCGGTTTGACTTTGATGTGCCTAGAGGCCCCCCTCAGCGACGACGGTCCTCCTGACCCGGCCCCACCACGGGCGGCAGCCGTTGACATAAGTCATCGAGAGACGAAGATAGTTATGCAAGTTTGTGTGAAAACCAATTCACAGAGGGTGAATTTGTGAAGCTGCTCGATCGCGTTGATAGAGCCTGTTTCATAAGCGTCGCGCGCGCGGGCCCGCGCTGCTGTGTTCGGAAACTCGCGCTGCGCGGGAGATTTCAAACTGGAGCGCGCGGCTCACTCTGCTTATCTCGCGGGGCCTTCCTGGCCGGGCTATGGGCCTGCCCGCCGCCGGCCGCAAACCGCACCGAGTGGTGCGCGGCTCCATTTCCACTCTGCGTGGCTTTCCAGCAGCGGCGCGAGCGATCGACAGTGAAGGGGGGGAGCAGCAAGTGCGTTCGGCCGGTAGAGAAGTAGTAGTAGTAGTCGGTGGTGTCCGGCCCGGGATGTTTTATACTTTCTCCCGCCACAGATTGAACGGCGGCGGCGGCTCCAGCGCTTTCCGCCCCCCGGCCGCCCCCGGCCGCCCCCCTACTCCATTGCTCTTCCGGTTTTTATCGCCGACGTTATTGTTATTAAATCACGCCCCGGGCGGCGCCGGCCGGCCTCCGCGGCGGCGCCCGCGGCACACGGGCTCGGGGGGGCCGCGGGGCTCGGCTGTGCCTCTCGACGGGGAGGCAGGGCCGGCAGGGCCGGCAGGGCATCACGACGGCGGCCGCGGCAATCGGCGTTTCTCGCGCCTTCTGATTATAAAAGAGCGCGCTGCTGCGGCGGCGCGTGCGAGCCCGGGGCGGGGCGGGGCGGGTCGGGGCGCCGTGGTGCTGAAAGGGGAGCATTATTATGGGGACTCGAACCTGTGATGGTCGGTAATTCAGTCGAAGGGAAATGCACGTCGTCGTCGAACGGGTGGTCGGCGCGGACGTTGATTAGCATGATGCGCACAGACTCTGTGCTGGGGGGAGGGGGGGGGGATCGAGTTGACTCGTTTGCGAAATGCCTGTACTTTGATCTGAGAGAACGTTTCAGAATGCCCATTTTGCTTGTGATATTAACGACGCCCTTCTTGTCTGCTTCCAGGGACGAGGCCGCGGCGACCCCGGCGGCGGCGTCGCCGTGCGCGCGTCTGGAGGCCGAGCAGTCGCGGCAGCTGCAGGTGCCCGGGTGCGCGGGCAGCGCCGTGGCGGCGTGGCTCGGCGGGCTGCGGCTCGCCTGCGAGCCCGAGTGCTCCGTCACCCTGCAGAGCAAGGCGCTGCTCGGCGCCGACCCCCGCGGCCTGCGCCAGCTCAGCGGCGTGCAGCTCGCCTCCCCGCAGGGCCTGGCGCACCTGCAGCGCCGCGCGCAACTCCTCTCCGGCGAGTACACCCGGCTGTGCGGGTGAGTACTCCTTGTTGGAACTTTAAAATATTGAAACCGAAATTGATAAAAAATGTTTGGGAA